GAATTTTACATGGAAAAGAAATTGAAAAAAAAAAAAAAAGGAAAAGAAATATGTATAGAAAAACTAATTAGTTAAGGCCGTGAGAAGGGCGGGTGCGGTGGTGGGTCAGACTAGTCCTCATTCCAAAACTGGCCCTGCTTTGATCTGAGAGAATGACGAAGTTTGCTATTTCCAGGTAGATTACCGACTATATTTTGTATTTTTCATTTGGCAATAAGGGTAAACTTTGGCCCACTTTTGTTGGTCAGATTCTTATGAGGCAGTAGTTTAATGCCTTCCTAATTGCAGGTCGTATTTGCCTTCTTTAGTTTGTTCTCCTTGCAAGCTCAGGACACCCTAATCTAGCAACCCTCGATTCAGTCCCCAAAAAGTTTACAAGGCAGCCGGCAGATATATATCATCAGAATTCACAAGAAATGGTTGGGTTGTTTGACAAGCAGGCAGCTATATATTTAGATGCAAGGCCAAGATATCCAAGCAGATGGTTCTCAATGCTGGCTGCGCTCACCCCCAACCACTCTTTGGCCTGGGACGTTGGCACTGGCAATGGTCAAGCTGCTATTGGTGTTAGTCCCCCTCTCTTTCTAAAGACTCAAATGAATAAAGCTATATATATATATATATATACTGAGTTCTTATTAGTTTGGTGATCTATAATGAACAAATTCATCTACACTTGTGATCTGGCATGAATTGAGAACTGTTTTTTATGCTGCTTCGCGTATAATTTTCTTACTAATTCAATACAATGCCTGTCCTTTGCAGATTGCTAAGCATTACAAGCAAGTGATCGCAACTGATATAAGTGAAGAACAGTTAAAGCAAGCCATCCCACATCCCCAAGTTCAATATCTGCACACCCCGTTGTCAATGTCTGATGAGGAGATAGTGGACTTAATTGGGGGTGAAAATTCTGTTGATTTAGTCACAGTGGCTGCAGCTTTGCATTGGTTTGATCTTGAAAAGTTCTATCCTATTGTCAAGCGTGTTCTAAGAAAGCCAGGAGGTGTACTTGCAGTTTGGGGCTATAACATCAACATCATCCAAGTTAGCCCAGAAGTTGATCCTCTCTTGAACAACTTGTTTGAGAAAACTTATCCTTTCCAAAACCCAAATCGCATGTACGCAATTGATGCTTACAAGACACTTCCATTTCCATTCGAAAGTGTAGGAGTAGGGTGCGAGGGGCAGTCAATGGAGTTAAACATGCCACAGGAGATGTCATTTGAGGGATTTTTGAAGCTGTTAAGGTCATTTTCACCCGTCATTACAGCTAAGGGAGAAGGTGTGGATTTATTGTGTGAAGAAGTTGTCAAGGAACTCGAGAGGGCTTGGGGTGGGAATGATCTGTAAATGAAAATGGTTGTTTTGCTTTGTTTTTAGAGTTTTGAGCTCTAAATTCTAATGGATTGGTTAGAAGTGTCAACTATATACTGATCATATTTGCCTTTCTTCAGTTTTAGATAGTTGGTGAAATGACAGATAATTCAACCAATGAATAATGCTTACTTTATGAATTATAGTGTCTCAAAGCTAACTGCAACCAAATTAATGATGCAAAAATGTTGCAGATGCTACCATTGTTAGTTTCCCTCTGGCTCTGGTAGATGTTCTTGTCATGGAATGGACACAAATCACAATCTGTCATGAAACAGCAAGAAAAAAAAAATAATTAGTCTCCCTTGTTTAACTATTTATAACTGGGCATTCGATTTTTTATGGAATAATTTATAACCTAGTCCCTCTAGATTTCAAAAATAAATTAATTAGTCTCCCTTGTTTAACTATTTAGTCTTTATATTTGTAAATTTTCTTGTAACTTAATTCTTCTTTGTTTTGTTGAACTTATTTTTTTTTTTTTTAATAAATAAAAAAATAAAAAAATAGAGAAGGATTTATGAGAAAATATGATTTTTTTAAAATAAAATAATATTAAATCAAATGTGGTCAAAACTCATTAAGCGACTAAATAATTAATTTTTAAAATAGGGGATTAGTTAATTTATTTCTTAACATTATTGGACTAATTGATAACTTACTCAATGATAAGTCTTTTTTTTTATTATTACCAAACGACGTCCTTTTGTTGGTAATTTTTCATTAAAAAAAAAATGTTTCTGGGCTGAGTTCACCTAACCCAGCTCGCCTGCTTGGGTTTCTGGGCCCAAATGTGAAGGCCTGACTCGTACAGGCCCTCTTTTGTTTTGTTTTTGTTTTTAATTTGTTTCCTTTTTTTATTAATCTTTAAAGGATTTTAAAATTTTTAAATAATACATAATAACATATATAGTATTTTAAAATATTTTATTCTTTCCATAATTTTTATTCTATAATAAAATCAAATATTTCATCATAAGGAGTAGAAAATATAATAAACTATCATTCTAAGATTTTTTTTTTTTTTTAAAAAAAAAAACCCGTAAAACTTCCGTTCACATAGATGCAATTCACTGTGAATTGACTATTCCTACACCGACCTTTTTTATTCCAGCCGCATCTCTCTTTTCCCCTCTCTTTTATTTTTTGCCCTCTTCTTTATTGTATGTTGCTTTTGTATCATTGAGTGCTTTCGTGCTATTACTTTTTTATCCATCTTTGGGTCCTTTAGCTGTAGCGTTGTTTTTCCTCTTCGGATATTTTCGTTCAAGAGCATTTAATGTTCTTGCATCTTGAATTTTCTTCTATATTTCTTTGCCGTTGTTGTCAAATTTTTTTCCCTCTCATTTCTTTCATCAATTTTATACCCATATGATGCTAACTTCAGCCTTTTTATTTTTTATATCGACCATTCATCCAAAAACACTTTGGCTATCATAACCATTGAATCATAATGTACAACTTTATTTTATTTCAAGCTCACTAAGCCAGCCTCCATCTTCATCATTCGAATAAATTATTCTATTTTTTTTAACAAATAAGACCTATTTTGAGCTATATGATAAAATGAATTCTAATAAAAAATTAGCAATATATCAAGGCATATTTGATGCAACCTAAACTTTATTATGGAATATATTTAATTAATTATCATGAGTTGATCAATTAATAAATGCAATTGAAGATGGTAAAACTATTATAAATGGTTAAAATGAACAAATGAGCACTATCTTTTATTTTGTTCCAAACATCTTTATTTACTTTGTTCTTAGAATATAATCAAAACTTACTAATTACACATATACTTATAATTCAGATGTTCTTTGCCTTTAATTCTCAAAATATTTTTTTAAACTTGATTTATCATAACGAGTAATTAGATTATCGGTCCGCATAACACATAAATAAATAAATAAGCATTGCTTTCGATGAACAAATAAACAAAGACTAACCACTTGCTTTCGATTATTAATTTTTTTTAAAAAACACATTTATCGAACATGTCCTTAAATATTTCACATAACTCGTTTAGTTATACGAAAATATATACTTGCATACTTTTGGATGAATGAAACGACGTACTCTAATCGACTGAACGTCTCTTTTTTCTTTATAACTTATACGTGTTTTATGCTTTGTCGCTCAAGTGTTATCGATGTTATTGAATCTTCATATACTTTCTTCTTATTATCGTTAAAAAAATACGATCTATTATCACTCAAATTTATGTTTCGTTTTCTCTTCAAACAAACATCTATCATCAAAACAATAAAAGAAATCAAATTCAAACTTTTCAAATCCTTCCAACTTCCTTGTCTTCTTATAGAAACAAGTAAAAATAGTTTGTCATTCATAGTTCATTTTACAGCAAGTGTGTGCAAGCATTAATCTAGTTTAGGACTAAAAAAGTTAAGAGATTATAAAATTCCTTAATATTATCTTCACTTATTTGAAAAGGAAACCTTATACATATTTTTAGAGATAAATAGATTTTATTCATTTAACTCAAATAATAAAGGAAACTTATTTATATAATTCCTTTTAAATCATGAAAATTAATAAAATAAAAATGTATTTGCATAAAAAGATTAACAAAGATCAAGGAAATGTACTGAAATGAAAATATAAATTCAAATTTTTTTTTTTAAAAAAAATTAATTATGGATGTAAAAATAATTAGCTTATTTGTTGGAAAATTTAAAATACAACTTATTTTTTTTATCAAGAGACCATACATCATATTGCATACATACATAGATAAAAGGATCACCTTAGATAGTTTTTTTTAGATGTATTTTTCAGTCCTTGAAAAACATAAAATCCTATTTTGTATAGATACCCTACCATCCATAAAAAACTTTTGGATCCATTATAAATTGAGATTTTTTTTTAAACCGTCTACTAAATAATTCAGAATTCATCAGTTTAATGTGCAATCCATTTTCTTTTTAATGATAGAATTAAATTTTGTTATGTTTAATTTTATAATTTAAGTATAGTTAATTAAAAAACTCTAACATATTTTTTTTTAGATAAGCAATATATATGTGTGTGTGGGTAAAACTAATTGTATTTTGAAAAAAAATACCTAAAATGGAAATTAATTATAAAAGGAATTTTTGTGAAAAAAAAAAACAAAACGAATAGAAATTATGGTGAAAAATTAATTTTATATTTTAAGTGTAGTTTTTTCTTCTAATTTTACTTCTCTTGCATTGACCGTTGTCCCATATACAACAACGTGAGGGCAATTAAATTAAGAAAAATAACTTGTATAAAACCAACAAGTAAAAGTTCAAAAAAATCAAACTAAGCAAAGCCAACCAAAAAAGAAGCAGAAAAATTGGAGAAGCGATTACTTGAATGATAATCCTTGGCCAATGGACAGAATCTTCAATACAAAATTTTGTAGGTTGGAGGTCCAATTTTCCAACTTTTGCATAAGCCGTGACATGGGAATTAAAAAGAACAGTCTCCAAGACCCTTCTTATATATATATACATGGAGTTCCTATGCATCTTTGACAAGTCTTGAGATCGATACATATTATACAGAGAATTTACTTGGAAAAAGAAAAGAAAAGAAAAGAAGAAACAATATCATCATTCATTGAAGATAAGGAGATGGCAGGTTTGTTTGACAAGCAGGCAGCAATATATTTGGATGCTAGGCCAAATTATCCAAATGAATGGTATGCTATGCTGGCTGATCTCACCCCTCACCACTCCTTAGCTTGGGATGCTGGTACTGGCAATGGACAGTCAGCTCTTGGTGTTAGTTCTCTGTCTCCCTCTCTTAAATTTTTATTTCTTTCTTGTTTGTACTTTAGATCTGGATGAACATGATGTCTTTCTATCATTTAAGTTTTTTTTTTTTTTTTTTTTTAATATGTTCCAGTTTATTCAGAAAATTAATTATCATCATTTACAAACTATTAATTAGTGTCTACCAAGAGGCCATAATATTGCAACGAATGCTCGTTTGCTTGCCATAATTTAAGCAAAAAATTTGTTACTTGCAGGTTGCGGAGCATTATGAGCAGGTGATTGGCACCGATATAAGTGTAGAACAGCTAAAACATGCTGTGCAACATCCTAGAGTCCAATACTTGCATACCCCATTATCGATATCAGATGATGAGCTAGTGAACTTAATTGGTGGTGAGAATTCTGTTGATTTGGTCACGGTAGCTGAAGCTGTGCACTGGTTTGATTTGCCAAAATTCTACGCAGTTGTTAAGCGAGTTCTTAAGAAACCAGGAGGTATAATTGCAGTTTGGGGCTATAATGACATGAATGTAAGTCCTACATTTGATGCAATCAAGAAGAGCTATCGAGAAGCCTGTAAACCTTACTGGAACCCAAATGCCAAGTACGCATTAGATGGCTATAGGACACTTCCATTTCCCTTTGAGAATGTGGGATTAGGGTGTGAAGGGGAACCCTTATTGCTAGACATACCGAAGGAGATCTCCTTGGAAAGATACTTGGGGGTACTGAAATCAACATCAACATACAATACTGCCAGGGAACTAGGTGTGGATTTGTTGTCTGAGAAGCTAGTTAATGAGCTTGAAGATGCTTGGGGTGGCCCTCGTGAATTGGTCAGGTCAGTAACTTACAAGGCCTTCATGCTTGCTGGAAAAATCAAGCTGGACAGTGAAGAATTGCCAAAGAACCTCTAATCTAGTTAATTTGATTGAATGAAATATATGTACCAGAACGGGATGGAGGTGGCATTTACATGAACACTTGCGATTGAATCATGAACGCTCAATCTCAGCCAATCAAACCAAGCAAGGCATGCACAGTTATGAAACAAGCATGGTTTTCGTTATCTATATACTATTTATGCACAGGCTTAACAAGCTAAGTTTGATTTTGTTCAATTCTCCTCTACCTTGCTATATAAAAAACACACATTTACATTTGGAACAACCCTCTAAGCTAGGAAAAATAACAAAAAAAGAAATTCTTCAACTACACATGTTTTTCCATCTAGCTATAGTTGTGGTGGAAAAGCAATCCAAATGACAGAATCTGTGCAAAATCTGTCATGCAAGTGGTTTTCTAAAGGCACCAGATTTTATTTTGATTTGAAGTGAAGATTTATAAGTCAAGAAAATCTTGGAATTTTATTGGCTAACAAAGACTCTGCAAATGAGTTAAGATTGTTAGAAATCCATTGGATGCTTGTTGAAGAAAAGAAGGCAGAATAGTCAAGATGTGGTTGTGGCTGCTGTCATGTCAGTTTTGAATTGAAAATAAGCTAATTTTGATTTTTTTCAATTTAAATTTATATTTCCATGGAAATTTTGGATTGGTTCGGAGAGCTCCAGAGTCAATATGAGCCTGCATACCTCCACTCATAATGTAAGATCAGTCTCAATGAAAGAAAAGCAAAACCAAGATTAAAGAAAGAGTCATTCAAAGGTGACAAGAAACTGATTGTTTGACAAGCAAGCTGATCTGTACTTGGATGCAAGACCAAATTATTCAAACCAATGGTATTCAATGATGGCTGAACACACCCTTCATCACTCTTTGGCTTGGGATGTTGGCACTGGAAATGGTCAAGCTGCTCTTGATGGTAGTTATCACTCTCTTTTCTTCTTTTCTGTAGCTGAAAAGTATATGTCAATTGTAACAAATTCTTGATTTTCTAATTATCCCTTAATGATCAGATGATTGCACTGAGTTAACTAAAGATATATATATATGACCATATTGAATTCCTTTTTGGGTTCTTTGTTCATTTTTTTTTTTTTGGCACTTCCGTAATCATATATCTTCAAATTGTTTGATTGTCAGCTAGAAATTTAAATTCATTTTCAGAAACAGGACAAAAAAAAAGAAAAAAAGACAAGGGATGCGAGTGATCATATGTTTCAAAATTAGAAACCGATCAAAAAGGTGGTGATCAATTTTACTAGTGTCATGTAAGTATGTTGACTTCTCTAGTTCTTAAGGGACTAGACTTGGGTCATTTCCCATCAGCATTTTTTTGTCCACTACTATAATTCAGTTGCTTGATTGCTGTGATTGTGCCTTAACTTGCTATTACTTGAGATCTACAGAAGTTATCCATTTCGATTCGAATTCAATTATTTGAATTGCAACATTAGGCATCTGGAAGATTGGATCTGATTCACATAGCAATATGAAATAAATCTGTCATGTCTAAACCATAACCTCAGAATCTTACTATGAGTTTGTTTGCAATTTAAGGTTCTCTTTATGTTTGGGAAACCCTTTTTTTTTTTCCCTGAGAATTGGATGAAGTTCTCAGGCTCACTTTCCATTCTGCCATTTCCCAAGAATCACTTTCCACACAGCCATTCCATTTACAAGTTCATGGCTTGAAAAAAGTTGTTGGATCAAGTGTTTTAGCTTTTTTTGCTAGGCTGCTGAGCATTATGAGCAAGTGATTGGAACTGATGTAAGTGAAGCCCAGTTAAAACGTCCACATCCACTGGTTCGATAAATTAACACCCCATTATCCATGACTGACGAGGATCTAGTGACCTTGTTTGGTGGTGAAAATATTGTGGATTTGGTGACTGTAGCGCAAGCTGTGCATTGGTTTGACCTGAACAAGTTTTATTCCCAAGTCATACGCCTTCTACGAAAACCTGGAAGTGTACTTGCGGTTTGGTGCTACAATATTGCTGTCAGTCCTTCATTTGATGCAGCATTTAAGCGATTTCGTAACTCAACTCTTCCTTTTTGGAACCCGAATGCCCAGTACGTATTTGATAGCTATAAGAAACTCCCATTTCCTTTTGAGAGTGTTGGTTTAGGATCAACATTTAATCAAGACACGATTCCCAAAATGGGCCCAGTACGTATTTGATAGCTTCAGTCTCTACGTATTTATATGAAGTTCTCTGATCAATAATTCTTAATAAAATTTGCAACCTTTTTTTTTTTTTTTTATCTTTTTGTTAGAAAGTGCTCTTAGTAGAGGGAGACATAAAAAAACCCTCAAAACAGGTTCATAAATATTCCAAATCATCGAGGCATTTTTATTTATGAAGCACGGCAAATCAGTCAAATTGGTTGGCTACTGTATGTCATTGGTGAGATTTTGAATTTTGGCTCACCAACTCAAAGACAATTGAGACGACCCAACAATTGTCCTACCAAATAAAGAAGGACATCTGACTTACGACATTAATAAAGTCCTCTCGACAAAAAGAAAGTTAGTAGAAGCGCCTTTGCGTATGGATAAGTCCTCTGTTGAGTCAAAGAGACGCGTGAAAGACAAGTATTTAGGTTTGCAAGAATTAAAGAAATAAAAAATATTACTATTACAAGAACTCTAGAATAGAAGTCTAGAATAGAAGGATGTTTTACTATTATGATTACTGTAGCACCAAACATATTTTATTATTCTTTTTACTATTTTTGCAACAGTGTTTTTTTAATTTTTTTTCACATAAATAGTGCACCTCCTTTTTTCTAAATACATTACTATGAGGCTCCTTTTACTTTCTCTTTTTGCCTCCTTAACTCTCTCTTTTTATCTTCTCTTTTTCTTCGAGTATAATTACCTTCTTTATTTGCTATTTTTGTTATCCATGAGCCAATATTCCTTTCCACCCCATACCTCCCACTACACTTATCCCATAACTTATAGCCCTAACCTAGTTATAAGTTATTCTACTTAGCCACCTTTGCTCGAAAGAAGGCGAACCGAGTCAGTTTCTCTTGTTTAATAGCAAGAAAGAGAATACACGAGTTTCAAGTTTTTCAAAATTCAAAAACATGAAAAAGTTCTCTCGCCTATACTACTCTATATATATGCTATTTATTCTAACACGTGTTTGTTATCATTTAAAACTCGTCAAACTAACTTTAACAAACTTCTAACTAATTAACAAACTTCATAATCAATTAGTTTTGTGATGTGCCGACAACGTGGTCGGCTTGTTGCCAACTCATTTTTAACACTTCATGCTTGAATGCAGAGTGAAGAACATGATCTATCTTGCTTGGTGGTATCATGCTCGTGGGAACTTCCTTTGGTGAATACGTCCGATGAAGCTTCGTTGGTGTCTTCTTTGATACTCCCCTCAAGAGGAGCATATATGTCAATCATGCTTATCTTGCTTGTAAGAAATTGAAACTAAGAAGGTCGAAGAGGCTTGGTGAACAAGTCTCGCTATTTGGTTTTCGAAGAGACATATTCGGTCTCAAAACTCCAAAGAACAACTTTTTCTCTAATGAAATAGCAATCCATTTTAATGTGTTTAGTTCTTTCATCAAGCACAGTGGTTCTAAATGATGCAAATAGCGGACTAATTATCATATTTTAATGTAACTCGCCTCTTTATGCTCAAATCCTAACTTTGCAAGTAGGCTCAACAATCACACAACTTCACAACATACGTGGTGACCATGGCCCTATATTTAGCCTCGACCGAACTTCTTGCTACCATAGTTTGTTTCTTAGATTTCCAACTAACAAAAGAGCCATCAAGAAAAATGGAATAACCAAGTCATTGACCTCCTAAGTATCTCTACATCCACCCAATCGCTATCACTATATACAACCAAGCTTGTGATTGAAAGAAGATGGAAACAATAGACCTTTGCCGTGTGCTTGCTTCGAGTATTCGAGGACTCGAAAACAGACTTGCAAATGAGAGTTAGATGGTTTGTCCATATATTGAGATAAGCACTTGGGTTGCAAAAGATATATCCGGTCCGGTGAAGTTAAGATACAAAAGCTTCCCTACCAATTGTCTATATCGAGCAGGATTATCAAATAAGTCAATATCAATTTGCACAAGCTTTCCACTTGGATGAACCGGTGTAGGGGCTGGTTTTGTACCAAGTAGACCATATTCCGCTACCAAATCAAGTACATACTTCCTTTGGCACAAAACAATTCCTTCGTCCGATCTTGCCACTTCAACCCTAAAAAATACTTCAACTGGCCGAGATATTTCGGTTTGAACCGAGAGTGTAAATATTTTTTGAATTCGTAACAAGTATCAATAGAGTTCCCCGCAATGACTAAGTCATCAACATATACCGAATAAAGCAAAAAAGTTATCGAGAGAAACTTTTTGATGAACAAAGAGTAGTCGACCTTTGATTGTGTGAAACTAAAGGATAACGAGGCTTGAGTAAGTTTGAAATTCCATCTGTCTTGATGTTTGCTTTAATCCATATAAGGATTTTCGAAGTTGATAGATAAGCCTAAGTATACTCCCCCTTCACATGATACCCTAAAGGAACATCCATGTATACTCGTCTCCTCCAAATCACCATTGAGGAAGGCATTATTTACATCCATCCGTGATAGTATCCATCCCCGAGAGGTCATTAAAGTAAGAAATACATCAAATGTGGTTTGTTTAACCATCGGGCTAAAAGTCTCTTGAAAATCATACCCAGTCTGTCGATTGTAGCCCTTAGCCACCAATCTTGCCTTATACCTATCTATTGAACCATATGCATAAAGTTTAACCTTATACACCCATTTACATCCTATACTATGATGTCCAGGAGGAAGTGATACAATGGTCCATGTGTTGTTCAACTCAAGAGCATCAAGCTCGCTTACATAGCATCTCACCAATGAGCAACCTTAACGACTTGGTTAAAATTATATGGTTCATCAAGATCGGATAAAGCCGATATAAAGGTTGTGTGTGAGGAAGAAAGTTTGGCGAGAGGAAATAAAATTCTGAATAGGAAAAGTAGTCGAGCATGACTAAGGAGAAAGAATAGGAGTAGTGGCTAGGTTGACATGATATGAAGATAAGTATGAAGGAGGCTTTCTCGATCCGTCACTTCTCCTAACCGGAACATCCGAGGATGTGATACTTTCGACCGGAACAAAAGGATGTGCATTTGATGATGAGGAATTAGGTACACCGGAAGAGGAATTAGAGGTATCGAAGGAAAAAGTTGACCAATAGGAGACACTAGAGTGTTATGGATGGATTGTGTTATTTGGAAATGGTTCGTGCACGGGATCACAATGTGGGACGAGAACTAGATGTGCTCGAAGGAATATGTTAGGATGGAGAAGAAGTTATAGAGTTAAGAGAAAATGGAAAAACACTTTCATGAAAAATGACATCCTTAGATACAAACACAATATTAGCATTCGGATCATAAAGTTTGTAGCCTTTTATACCATTAGGATAACCAATGAATATGCATTGTCTAGATATAGGTTTAAATTTTTTCCTACTATGGATAAGGGTAGAAGCAAAACATAGACATCTAAAGACCTTTAAATGACCATAAGAGGGAGGTTTGTAAAAAAAAAAAAACTTCATATGGACTTCTATTCCGTAACACCTGGAGAAGGTAATTTGTTTATCGAGTAAGTTGTTGTCAAAATTGCATCCCCCCAAAAAGAAATAGGTAAATGGGATTGGAAAAGTAAGGCTCTAGCTCAACAACACCATTTTGTTGAGGAGTTTCTACACAAGATAACTTATGCAAAATGCCTTTTTCAGAATAAAACTAATGTAGTTTAAATTCGGGACCATTATCCGATCGAATTTGTTCGATGACAAAGCTAAATTAAGTATGAACAAGATTAAAGAAACTAGGAAGAATGGAACTAATTCTGGATTTATGTTTCATCAAGAAAACCCGTGTCATGCGGGTGAAATCATTAACAATGGTTAAGAAATATTGAAAATTACCAATGACAGATTGTGAATAAGGACCCCATATATCCACATGAATCAACCGAAAGGGGACAATAGTACTCGTGTATGAGTGGGACAAGTTAAACGCTTATGTATAGCCATATGACAAATAACATATGGAATTTTATTTGATTTTGAGATAAACTGAATTTCTTTAAAGTTTTGATAAATGACCTTAAGTTTGTTAGAAGAAAAATGCCCTAACCTAAAATGCCATAGATCAAAACAAGTTTGTGGCATCAAGTAAAGGACCTACATTATTGATAAAAACAGATTGGTGGTTGGAATTCGAAACTTGTCCGACAAGAGATGAAGACTAAGGCAGAAGCAGATGAATTTTGCACTAAGTAAAGACCTCCACCGGCCTTAGCAAGCCCAATCACTATCGAAGAAGGCAAATGCTCGAATGAAACAAAATTCACCACCGAAATTAATGAAAAACTTTTTGGATTGAGTGAGTTTACTAACGGAGATCAAATTGAACTTGAAAGAAGGCACGAATAGGACATTATTCAAAACCAAGTGTTGAAGATAAAGCCACGAGTACCAAAATGTGTAGCAATAACCTTAGAACCAACCGAAATTATCAAAAACGTGTTATCAATGGTATGAAAAGAAGTAAAAGAACTTAAGCTACATGCAATATGATTCGAAGCTCCCGTATCTATGATCCGGACATCATTATTCATAAAATGTGTTACACATTGTGGCAATTATGTACAACGTAAATGTGAAGAGGTAAGGATTTATTACTTATATTATTAGGAGTTTCGATAAAACCTTAGATACAGTGAAGTAGATTGCTCATTGAGAAGAGCTAGCAAATGTTGAATTTGATGCTCGAGTGAATAATACCCGTGGTTTTGTGGCTTTCCCTTGACATACTATAGTAGAGTTCAAATTAGTGTCAACTCGATATTCCGCCTTATCAATGTATGAGAGAGCGTCCGCATCATTCCGTTTAACCATAGAATTAACTCCAAGAAAATCAGCCTCTTCCTCTAGCAAAGTCGAGTTGATCGTAGTAGAGGAAGTGGATCTTCCTCTAGCAAATTTTGGATTGTTTGTAAATCCAACCAAACGAAAACACCTATCCTTAGTGTGGCTTGACCTTCCACAAGTGTGTACACATAAGAGTATTCCCGGATCTATTATGATAAACACTTCGCTAATC